GTTAAGCTAGCTAAAGCTTGTGTTATGGGTACTAGATAACTGAAACAAATATACTAAAATTTTTTTTTCGTAGATACATACATATTGTACATAGAAAACGCCCAGACCGATACAAGCAATCATACTCATGAATACAAATATTTGTGCCGTGCGAGGAATCGAACCCGCGATCATCGGAAGCAATGTGCTAAACCGCTAGACCACCGAGGCCGTCAGTCAATATGTATATTTTAGCGTGTTATTAGCGTCTTTTGTAAATGTTTTTCAATTCAATTGCAACAATTTCCGCTGGAAACCATCGTTATAGATTTGTCACAATGTGCTAACTCATCTGACCTCATCTTCATCTTATCATCCGTAAATACTTCAGACTACTCCCGATATAATAATTCTGTGCATATGTATGTATGAACGTGTATGTGTTTGTAAGTGTTACAATTAATAGTTACAACTCCAATAATCGACTAGGGATGTTATGGATATGAAATATCGGATACGGATAGGTTTCGGATACAGGAATGATTATTGTACCGGATACGGATACGGATGCGGATATGAAACTATTTCGGATTATCCGTTACTTTCCGATAATTTCAGTGACGGATATTAATTTTTTAAAGAATTTAAAAAGTAAAATACAAATAGCTAATAAAATGGTTACATAACATATTTCAATCAGGCTCCGTCCCTATCCGATGTTATCCGAAACCTTTATTTCGGATTCGGTTACGGTTACGAATGTTTTTTTATATCGGATATCCGATAGTTACGGTTACGAATGTTTTTTTATATCGGATATCCGATAGTTACGGTTACGAATGTTTTTTTATATCGGATATCCGATAGTTACGGTTACGAATGTTTTTTTTATATCGGATATCCGATAGTTACGGTTACGAATGTTTTTATTATATCGGATATCCGATAGTTACGGTTACGAATGTTTTTTTATATCTGATATCCGATAGTTTCGGTTACGGGGTTCCCCAACATATATAATATACATTATTAAGCTACTAGCAGTATCACTATGCTGATTATTCACAGTACAATATCTTACAGGCGCTTATAAACTGTGAAGATTGAAAACAACATTTTCTAATGCTAGTTTATTTAAAAAATAGTATTATTGTAATAATTACTAATATAATTTAATATTGTACAAAATTACATAAATAATAAGGAATTCGAATTTTGCATAGAAATTATGATTTATTTATGACTAGCTGTGTCCGTAACTTCGTCCGCGAGGTATTTAACTTTATTTTTCTAAAATAAAAGTTTTTTATAATAAAAGTAGCCTAAGTTACTTATCATTACAGCGAATAAAAGTCCCGTCAAAATCGGTCCAGCCATTTCAGAGATTAGCCGGAACAAACAGACCGACAGACAGACAGACAAAAATTATAAAAAATGTTATTTTGATATACCGTATTTATATTAATGTGCATGTAGTAAAAAACGGTTATTTCAATGTTACATACAGACACTCCAATCTTATTTACATGTATAGATGAACTATTACAATTTGAAATTTTGCACACCTCTTACGAGGTTAATGTACGGATCTCAACAACATATTTATAACACCTTATTGTTTACCTACATTTGGCAAATAAAGTATTATTTTTTTTTTTTCCCAAAAATTCTCATCTCCCCTCTTAAGGAGAGGAGATGGCAACATTATTATTATTATTATTATTACAAAGTAAAAATACAATTCGTTACGATACAGTTATCTGTATGGTAGGTCTCGTTTAATATTTCACTAACAATATAAACGTATTTAGGTAAGTCTGTGTAGACATGAAAAATGTATAAAAATAACCTTAAAGTCGTAAATTCTTTAAATTGCAGGCACTCTACGTTCTTTTGGGAACGCGCGGTATATCTTAAAAGAGACGTTTAGTTGCGGCTCTATCCTCTAGAATATACTGAGTGGACTAGATATATACTGTTTTAAGTTTGACGCGGTCATTATTTATAAGTATAATTAGTAAATCACGGGATATTACCACGTTTTTTTTTTGTTGAGTTCCCGATATTTCGGGTGATGATCACGGGTATATGATCACGTGATCATGGCCGTTGAAACACTGCCGAAATATCGGGAACTCAACAAAAATAAAACGTGGTAATATCCCGTGATTTAATTAGATTAAATATAACTCAATAGGATCTAGAAAAGTAGCAATTACTCTAAAGTCTATTTCATCATAAGTTCTATATCATCGTCATCAAATCTTTACTTGTAGAGATTACAAATTGAACAGAAACTGCAATGTGGTGTCTTTAATGATAAAAAACATGACAAATGGTAGGAAGTAAGAATAGATTTTTAGAAATTTTATTTTCTCTGTATGGAACAGATATGAGATGGAAGGAACGAGTATCTAAATATATATAACTCAAAGGTGACTAACATAGTGATCTATCACCGCACAGCCCAAACCACTGCACGGATCGGGCTGAAATTTGGCATGCAGGTAGATGTTATGACGTAGACATCCGCTAAGAAAGGATTTTGATTAATTCTACCCCCAAGGGGATAAAATAGGGGATGAAAGTTTGTATGAAACTTTGTCAATTTTAAACTGATCGGGCTGGGTCATTCCCTAAGAAAGTATTTTGATAAATTCCACCCCTAAGGGGATAAATTAACGCGAGGGAAGCCGCGGGCAAAAGCTAGTATTTATATAAGACTCTGACTAGTCTCTACTTAGGAATTATGTAAATAAAAAAAAATATTTATATATACAAAAGGTAGCTGCAAGGATCCTGGTTATCGATTAGTTCAGTGTCACTATTATGATATAAAGTAATGTGTGACTGTTATAATATGTAAGTAGGTGGTTGCTCAATGTGCAAGTCGGTTTCTATAAATTGAGTGGCCAGTTCAGATCCGTAACGATGTCAAGTAAACAATACATCGCCATAGTGATCCGCCTCGAAGCCAAAACTCGTCTCTCAGTTTACTACAGTTTTACTGCTTCATAACAACAACCGTTCACAGCGAGCAGTAAAAAAGAATTGCTCTTAAATCCTTAGACTTTGCCGTCTGTTTACCATCAAATATTTGGTATTGACGCGAACTTTACGCTTGTATTATTCCATTGTGGAGTTTGTACTACTTTGTGTGACGAGATGGTATATAGAGCCGTCGATGGAGAGTTTTGATGACGATAGTTACTGTAGGAACATAAGAAAGGGCTTGTGATATGAGATAAGGAAAAGTTACGTCGTCATGAGTCATAAACCGTGTGTGCGAGGAGATGAACTGGGGGCTCGCTCTCCGGCAGCCTACCACTGCGCTGGTCGGGTGCGCTTTGTTATTACTTACCTGATAAGTACCGTATTTTTTTTTATGGAGAATGAAATGGTGCATCTGTCTGTGCTATTCTTCTCCATACAAAACTTGCTACTACGAAAATATTCTATGAAACGATATTGAAACCTTCAAGAAAAGAGCTTATTCCTTTTTAAAAGGCCGACAACGTACTTGCAATTCCCCTGGTGTTGCGGGTGCTCATGGGCGGCGGTAATCACTTACCATCAGGTGAGCCGCATGCTCGTTTGTCCCCTGTGTTATAAAAAAAAACTTGATGGAATTCTGTTCATAGAATTAAGTAACTAATATAACTGTTTGACACTATAATCAATGCAGAACAGTATAAAAAATTGAAATAAGTTCAACGTATTGGAGTTATAATGAAGTTTCAGAATAACCAAAAAAAATCTTTAATATTTACTGTAATATAGAGTCAGTCGAGTACGAGTACGACATGTAGTATGTACGACAAGTAAGACCAACCGTTTTCCCAGGACATGTTCCTAGTGTTTGTAGTGCTCTGATACGTCCTGTACAGTGTTCAAACAGCGTTCTGGGTTTTTAAATGTCAAAATTCGCGTGCCTCCTTGTAACCAAGTTTTCAATACTTTTATTAAATATATTATTAATTTAATTACTTAAATTTCATTTCACCTATTTTTATTACATATTAATTTTGGTTATTGCAACTCTATTATTGCGTTCTGTTTTTACATTGATCAGTCCTGGTGTTTTCAAGTAAAAATCCTGCTTTTATAAATTTGCAGTTGGCAACACTACAGTAAATTTGACATGACTAGTCCCAACAAAGGACAATGGTGGTAAAATGTAATCGCTGACTGCTGAGTGATGGACGTATCCAATTACAACCGTTGTGTTCTTGTAAGTGTAAACAAAGGAAAAAAGCAAAATAAATCCATGGATGTGATATGTTTATATTTCATTACTAGCTGTACCAGCGACTTCGTCCGCGTGGAATTAAGTAGTCCAAGTTACCCCTTATTACATCAGCTACCTGCCAAAAAGTCCCGTCAAAATCGGTCCAGCCATTTCAGAGATTAGCCCGAACAAACAGACAAAAATTGTAAAAAATGTTATTTCGGTGTATGTACCGTATTTATAGTCATATGCATGAAGTAAAAAACTGTTATTATATATATTACAAACAGACACTGCAATTTTATTTATATGTATAGATGTAGACTATGAGTCTACTGCGAACTAACGGTCAGCAGCGCCGACAAGCAGGCAGTCGAAAATAAAACGCGACGTGATGGAAAAAACGCCACTCGCCGCGTCCGGCGCGAATCGATAACCGACCGAGTGGAATTTATAAAAGTAGCCGACCGAGCCCCCGCCGCCCCCGGCACCCCCCCGGCCCTGCCCGAGCGTCTGCGCTCTTGCTTTTTCACGTGTTTCCGTGTCTGCGCTCCTCTCTCCGGCAGGTGGGTGCCGCGTGCGAGCGAGACGGCCTCGTTTGCGCGTTTGCTTCTCAGTGCGCGTGTCTGTTTGCCGTTATGCGCGTTACCGTGTCTGCTTCGCGGTGTCGGAGTGGCCTGACGTGCTCTTCATATTATAAATTTCTGCGTAAATTTATTAAGTTTTTCGCCGAGTGAAAGTGGGAACGGTTAGTTTGTCGCGGGTCGACGGTGCAGTGGCGGTGCTGGCGGCCATGTCGCTGAGTGTGTCGGGGGAGGAGGGCGGCGGGGGCCGGGGGTCGCCGGCGGAGGGGGCGGCGGGGGTCGCGGGGGCCCCGGGCCGGCCCGACGGCTGCGACGTGGGCCGTATGGTGGACTCGAGCCAGGCCGACGACCGCAAGATGATCCGGCTGGTGCGCGAGCGGCGGCTGCTGTACGCCCGGAACAACATGCCCGTGGCCAGCTTCCACTCGCAGGTGAAGAGGCTGTGGCAGCAGGTGGCCAACGAGATGGGCTGGAGCGGTACGTCACACATACACACACAGAGTACATAGTACAGGAGACAAACACCATCATTACCATATGTTTTGTTTACGTAGATTCTTCAAGTGGTTGATCTACTTACCTATATTCACATATACACCGCGCATTCTAACATGACGCGACAACGACTTGACGGTACCGGTGGTCTAGCGGTTTACCACACCGCCTTACGTCCGATGGTCGCGGGTTCGATTCCTTGCACGGTACAAACATTTATATTCATGAATATGATTGTTTGTATCGATCTGGGTGTTTTCTGTTTATAATATGTATTTACGAAACAAATACATGTATCATCTAATACCCATAACACAAGCTTTAGCTAGCGTATCTTGGGTCCAGATGGCGCTGTGTAACTTGTCCTGAGATTATTATTATTTTGTTAGGTTTTGGGATAAGATTTGTAGAATGAAATTATTATTTTTTTCTTTATACAAAGTGATATGTACTCCCAAATAATGATGTAATTAAATGTTGCTTGTTTTGAAAACAGTTTTGATTCCTGCAAGCGCCATGTTATAATGCACGCAGTATAGGTGACCTATATGCAACGACCTTCACGGCTGTGGGAGGTGCGTTTGTTTGCGCGTACGAGGACCCCGTTTCGATTCTCGGGCGGGTCAATTTAGAAAGTAGTCTTTTCTAATTTTACTCGAGCGGTACATAACATAATGTATACCATTATTGGTCTTTCTAACTATAAAAGGATGTTTTCAAATCGCTTTTACCTACTTTTTGTGACTTTCTATTATTATTTATTTATTTATTATTACAGTTACGACTATACAAACTTAAAGACCGATTATGATGATTATTTGTCGCATTTATTTTTTGTATGATATACATATATATGGTCAATAGAGATATATAAATCAATTTGACACAAAAATGATCAGATATTAAATTTGAATAATGACAACACTTTCCAATTCGATCTCTCGTCCAATTCAAACGGGGATCGATATTACGAACCCCTAGCGGTGCCCTCAGATTAAAGTCATACCCGTCAGGCGGGAGTTGGCCTTCAGCCGCTCCATAAGCCCTTCCTTGGTTTGGAGTGTCATCTGCACTCGTCCCCTATCGTCCGGTGAAGCTGTAAAGGCCAGCTGCGGCCAACAGCATTATAGTGCGAAAAAAAAGCAACATATGTATATCTAAATATATATAACTCAAAGGTGGCTGACATAGTGATCTATCAACGCACAGCCCAAACAACTGGACGGATCGGGTTGAAATTTGGCATGCAAGTAGATGTTATGACGTAGGCATCCGCTAAGAAAGGATTTTGATTAATTCTACCCCCAAGGGGATAAAATAGGGGATGAAAGTTTGTATGAAACTTTGTCAATTTTTAACCGATCGGGCTGAGACTTTGCATACATAAAGCTACTATGACGTAAGCATCCCCTAAGAAAGGATTTTGATAATTTCCACCCCTAAGGGGATAAATTATCGCGTGCGAAGCCGCGGGCAAAAGCCAGTTTCCCTATATTCCCCTCTCAGTTGTAGAACACAACACAGTGTATGATAGTAATGTAATCACACAGCTCATGTAATCAGTGCTCTGATAACGATAACAGCTATCGCGTTATCCGATGTGTGCACTCGTCTCTACACAAACACCGACACGAGAGCCGTGTGTATATATATATACAGTTGTAATGTAAGCCATAAGGCTTAGGCATAAGGCCGTGCTTACAAGACTATATATAAATACATATATATCTTATATATAAAATTCTCGTGTCACAGTTTTCGTTCCCATACTCCTCCGAAACGGCTTGACCGATTCTTATGAAATTTTGTGAGCGTATTGAGTAGGTCTGAGAATCGGCCAACATCTATTTTTCATCCCTCTAAATGTTAGGGGTAGTCCACCCCTAATTTTTTTTTTTATTTTAAGGCAAAACAACGTTTGCCGGGACAGCTAGTCTTATATATAAAATATATATTAGTATATATATATTTGTATCTTATGTTTTATAACAATTATGCACATTGCTTAAAGGGGATTTAGAGTCGCGGTAGTACTAGACCACCGCGGTTGTGTGCTAAACCGCTACTTTTTTCTTATGATGGTCGCGGGTTCGATTCCTCGCACGGTACTAACATTTGTATTCATAAATGACTGTTTGTATTGGTCTGGTTCTATTCTATGTATATTATGTATGTACTAGTTGTTATATATATTACTAGCTGTACCCGCGACTTCGTCCGCGTGGAATTTAACTTTATGTTTCTAAAAAAAAGATTTTTTCTAAATTAAAGTAGCCTAAGTTACTCCTTATTACATCAACTACCTGTCAAAAAAAGTCCAATCAAAATCGGTTCAGCCATTCCAGAGATTAGCGGGAACAAATAGATAGACAGACAAGAATTGTAAAAAATGATATTTTGGTGTAGGTACCGTATTTATATTCATATGCACGTTGTAAAAAACGGTTACTTCAATATTACAAACAGACACTCCAATTTTATTTATATGTATAGATGTATAGATTATTATTAATTAACATTGTCCTGTGTATGTGTAGTGGCGGATGTACGGCGGAAGTGGTCCCACATCCGCAACTCGTACTCTCGCCACCTCCGCAACGAGATGCACGGCGCGCGCACCGCCCGCGGGCGCACCGTCTCGCGCTGGTACCTCGCAGACGAGCTCGAGTTCCTCCGGGAGCACATGGCCACTGACACGTTAGTACCTCATCCTACCATCGACCACCTACATACAATAATAAAAATTGAATGGTACACTAGCTTGTGTTAACTGCAGTAAATAAAAAATATATAAACATCTGAAATACTACATACAAAATACCTATCAACTACACTTTAAAGATAAAATACTTTTGTAAGAAAACAACATCTAATTGAATTTAAGTTTGTTCGAGAAAACAATTTTCGAATAGAACGCGTTGATAACAATGATCAGGCAAATAAGACAAGACAACATATGAAGGTATATAAATTGAGACTTTAGATAGATAAATAAATTATTTATTCACAATTACAGACACATAACATACATGAGATTAGGTCAGGACAGGACAGGACAGGACAGGAGGTTAGGTCAGTTAGCCCATCGTGACAAATTCACCAGGATTTCATCACGATTGTTTCCCAGGGTATCCGCGTGGAGGCCACCACCCACATTTTTTTATTAGAATAGAATAGAAAATCATTTATTCAAATAAATTTATTTAAGCACATTTGAATAGTCAACAATTTTTTTTTAAATCTACCGCTTATTCGGAAAGCAGTTTCATCACAAGAAGAATAAACAAGAAATTTGTATGTTGGTCTTTTAAACAATTCTTGTAAGTTCACATTTTACAAGTCGAAACGTGTGAATACAAACTACCAACCAGCACTAATTTATTTAGGGTCAAATATAAAAACACAATAAGATAAAATCAGTCGTAGTGATAAGAGCAGACCAGTTCCTACAAGCAGGACACGTTCACGAATATGACGGATGAGCCAGCCATCACTGCGCTCGACCATATTTTAGTGTGCCCAACGACCCGGCTCACCACGCCGTCAAATGTCTGGACATTTTAGTGAGCATGACTACTCATTCCACTTGACCACGTCATAGCTACTGAATACAATAGTATGGTGCATGCGCCTGCGACGATTTACGCTGGCGGGAGTGGAGCATGACAATGATGAAGTCAGGTCAGTTATCTTGGCACATGACGATTCACCATGAAAGTTAGAAAGGGAACCGCGTGAAGATTCACCTGGTGCGCATAGTTATGTCCACCATCCACATTGTGTCGTGGCAACATAGACTCCAACAACTTACAATTTGCATCCACGACCCGGTTATCAAATTAATCGGGTACAGTCGTGATTTAATCGACGAACCGGTTCTACCAGCTACTGCTGTAGTATGAACTTAGACCACAAAAACAACTACCAACTTTATAATAATAGTGTTTGTTGAGAGCGTGGACTGCAGGTTGCTGATGATAAAAACCTTTGCTGGACCAAACTAATTATATTTAAATTATACAATAACTTAATTACACTGAGCAACGTACGTACGTACGCGTGTGTTAGACAATATCGTGGAAGAAAGTGAGATAAAAGGAATTCAATGACTCCACCACCCACCCTCTCGCACTCATGCAATGGTATTACCATAGACATAAACATAAAATGATTATTTGTTGCTTGCAACATATCTAACAACATTAATTTTAAATATGTTTTTCTTTAGTATAATTAGACATCAACAGCATCTATAAACTATTCAATTTCTATGATATTATTATTCTTGATACTATATCTCAATTCAGGTATTAGAAAATATGTATTTATGTCATTACTGATGTTCCTAATGTCATGTTATATCTAAAGATTTAGGTGTCCACTTCCCACTCCATCATAGTCAGGCCACATACAGACCGACAGATTTTAGATAGATAGATAGATAATTGATTTATTGCCAACATAACACAAATAATACAGTTTACAATACGACACAAAATGAGAAATAAATAATAACATAGAAAGTTGGCAATAGGAGCTGTCTCAGCTGTTGCTGATGTAAGTACAACCTCAATGAGGTGCACCTATACAGCGCTGGTATCCAGACATCCCCCATTACTCATTAAAAAAAAACTAAGATGCGGGTTTTTTACTATATAAAGATACATATAAATTAAACAAAAACAAAATTGTAATGTAAACTCAGAGCCTGGATCAATATTATACTTTTTGCTGGAAAACCATCTCATTCCCCGGGAGAAAGTCGTCCGTGTAAACGAGTTCGCAGGCACATCTAATATTAGATAATTACTGCTGCCTGTCTGTCACCCTACAAACTGTGAAGGTGCTGACATAAATAAACAGTTATTTTTCGCCTACAGATAATGTATAAATACAGTATATATTTATATTTCTACTATAAATGAGAAAGGGCATATTATACGTTAGGTCAAGCGTGCAGACCTAATGTCAGAGAAAATATGGCGAAGTAATGGAAACGATGAGTTTAATAACTGTGAGAGGTCTAGATTTAACGGGCCCGGTGGTCTAGCTATTTAGCACATTGCCTTACTTGCGATGGTCGAGGTTTTAATTTCTCGCACGGTATAAACATTATGTATTCATAATACCCTTGCAGCGAAACTGAGTGCAGTAGCTTTTGCCGTGCGTAAGGTTAGACAGTACACTGATACTGATACTTCTAGATTAGCCTATTTTAGTTATTTTCATAGTTTATACTCTTATGGAATATTACTATGGGGAAAAGCGGCAGATATTAAAAATATATTCATATTACAAAAACGTGCCATTCGAGCGATCTACTGTATGAAGAGTCGTGACTCATTAAGAGAGAAATTCAAAGAGGCAAATATTCTCACCGTTGCTTCTCAATTTATATATTCAAATATCCTATATGTTCATAAAAATCTTGACTTATTTCCAAAAAATAGCAATATTCATAATATTAATACTGGATTTAAAGACACACTTGCTGTCCCCAAGTATCGTTTAGAAAAAGTCAATAGATCTTTTACGGGAATAGGTATAAAAATTATAATAAGATACCAAAGGATATATTGGAATTACCCTTAAATAAATTCAAAACATCTGTTAAATCATATTTATTGAGCAAAGCCTATTACTCACTATAAACGATTACTTGAATGACGAGTGTGCATGGCAATAGTTGTTCATGCACTGAATTTTCATTTAATGTTAGACATAGACACCTATATAAATATACATTGTAAATAAACTGGCTTTAAAAAAATAGTAATACAATTGAGTTCCTTGTCAATTCTTCTCAATTGGATCTATATACCGAACTGGACGGTAGGGAAAAAAAATTAAATTATAATATATATATATATAAATATATATAATATATATATAATTAAATTATAATACCGCGGTATATTAACTGATCCTGTATCATCGTCAGCAAAATTTTAAATTTCATTATGCGGGAGATGTTGAGACTGGCTACTCATGCTGTGATAGAGGTTCCTAAATAAATCTAAGATTTAAAAAAGTTCTCAGATTTGTAACATGTACTATTCAAATTGAAAACTTCATCTTACGTAGCTAAATTATGTTTACAGGCGGCCGTCGTACCCCACCACGTATGCGCCGAAGTTCCTCGAGATGGACCTATCGGAGCAGACCCCAGCGACGCCCACCGACCACGTCGACATCAAACCCTTCATCCAGAACCCGTGGTTCTCCCTCAGTACATCGCATATGAACACGTCCTTCGAGACCAAGACAGAACCATACAACCACAACGAAGACAGCACCAGCTCAGCCTTCGAGCCGGACGAGAACTCCTCCTACTTCCAATTCTTCCGCGGCATCCACAATGACTACTTGGAACTGACGCCGAAGAACCGGAGGCTTTACAAGAGGCAATGCTTGAATTTTCTGCATGGATTGTTGGACATGCAGGACAACCAGCTCGGCAGCAGTTACGATCAGAATGATGCGATGAACCTTTCTAACTCGGTGAGCCTGAGCGACGAGGAACCGGAGCGGAAGGTGTGCGTGGTGGATAACGTGGAGAGTTACAACATTGTGCCCGGCAACTAACTAACGGCCGGCACACGGTCATTGGTGTACTGACGTAACAGTTCCTTCGTTTATGTACTTTTAATGTTAAAAGAAAGTTCAAATTTGTGGGTTTCCTAAGCACATTCCTAAGTTTGGGATTCCTAAATAGTACAATAAGATTTTTTTTTGTTTATACTTTAAATGAAAGAGGAATGACTATATTCCTAAATTCCTTGCGAGTTTCTTAAACACATTACTAAGTTTGGGAAATCATGAATGGTAAAAATAATAGTTTTTTTTTGGTAGTTCATACGTTAATAATTTTTATTCATATTTTAAAAGAAAAGATGAATGACTATATTCCTAAATGGAATAGAATAGAAAATCATTTATTCAAATAAACTTACATTGAAGCACTTTTGAATAGTCATTACATTTTTTTTAATCTACCGCTCATTCGGAAAGCTGTCTCATCACAAGAAGAACGAGAAAGAAACTTGCGTGTTGCTCTTTTAAATAATTTTATTGTTACTTTACATTTTTAAGTTTAAGTGTGTGAATACAAATTACCGATTAGCACTAATGAATTTGTTAACACAGGAAATTTACAATTTATGGTTATTTTACTACAAATAGTTACATTTTTAGAACACAACAGGTGAATGCGAGGATTTATAAGAAATGCTTGTTTATATAGTTCAAGTGAATTTACAGAACCGTCAGATGAAATTCGAAGAATAATAAAATAATAATATCTCAGGACAATTCACACAGCGCCATCTAGTCCCAAGCTAAGCAGAACTTGTGTTATGGGTACTAGACAACTGATATAAATACATGGATACATTTTTTGTAAATAAATACATATTGTACATAGAAAACATCCAGACCGATACAAAGAATCATATACTCATGAAAACAAATATTTGTACCGTGCGAGGAATCCAACCCGCGACCATCGGATAGTAAAGCGGCGTGATAAACACTAGACCACCGAGGCTGTCTAATACGAGCGATAAACTGTAAATATTAATTGCAGATTTATAATTGTGATTTTAAAAGGAATAATGTAAAATATTTATTCAATTACTTATAAAATGTTAGTAAGTACAGAGTAACAATTTGGGAGTTTTTTTTTGTTCTTGGGTTGCAAACATCATACTTTCATATACCTATATTTTTTAATTGTTAAACACAATAATGTTTCTTATAGACATAGTGGTGTAATGGTGAAATGTGGGGCAACCATGTGGAGTGATAACAATAATATTTATTGAAACAATAATATCTTAGATACTAATTAATAATTACAAGTATAATAATAATTATTACTAAGCAATAATTTAAGTGAAAGGGAACCTAAGGAACTATTATAATTTTAGTTTAAATTGTATTAAATATACGTAACATAATAATATAATTTGCATTTATAGTTGAGACTAGCTGATCCCGCGGCTTTGTCCGCGTGAAATTTAACTTTATTTAGCATTAAGCACATACACCAAAATACAATTTCAATTTTCGCGTGTCACCCTAAGTATAAGTACATCTATACATATAAATAAAATTGGAGTGTCTGTTTTTAATATTGAAATAACCGTATTTTACTATACGCATATAAATATAAATACGGTACATACACCAAAATAACATTTTTTTACAATTTTAGTCTGTCTGTTTGTTCCGACTAATCTTTGAAATGGCTGGACCGATTTTGAAGAGACTTTTTGGCAGGTAGTCTTTACATGTAAATAAAATTGGAGTGTCTGTTTGTAATATTGACATAACCGTGTTTCAATACATGCCTATGAATATAAATACCGTACATACGCCAAAATAACATTTTTTATCATTTTTGTCTGTCTGTCTGTTTGTTTCGGCTAATCTCTGAAATGGGTGGACCGATTTTGACGGGACTTTTTTTGGCAGGTAGCTTATGTAATGAGGAGTAACTAGGGTACATTTATTTTTGAAAAATATAGTAAAATTTCACGCGGACGAAGTCGCGGGTACAGCTAGTCATCTATAAAAAAGAATTGCATCCATGTAGTCCTAACACTGCAACACGTCTTCTCCTTGAGCTGATTTTATTTTTGTGAAGGCTTTCAGTCTGGATATCTTTTAAGAGTCTTGGATTCGAATCCTATCGTATCGAAATATTAATATTCACTTTTTTAACCTAATGATTAATTACATATACAATCAACGCAATGTTAAGCATTAAAAATGAATATTTATTCAATAAGATTTAAAAATAAAAGTATTGTAAGGTAATAAAATATTTGTTACGTAGTTTTACGTATACACAGAATGTTTCCTACATTGATTTATATATAGCTAGCTATCCCGGCAACCGTTGTGTTGCCATATAAATTAAAATCGCTATTAAAAATTAGGGGTTGATACTAGAAGAGTGAAAATTTAGGGTTGTATGTATTTTTTAACGACATATAATAAAAACTTATAAATATAAAATATTGCCCAAAAAATAAGAAATTAATGTTAGGGGTGGCCAACCCTTATCACTTAGGGGTACGAAAAATAGATAGTAGCCGATTTTCAGACCTGTATGGTGTACATGTATCTATACATATAAATAAAATTGGAGTGTTTGTTTGTAATATTGAAATAACCATTTTTTATTACATGCATATGATAAATACGGTACAGACACCAAAATATTTTATTTTTAAATTTTTGTCTGTCTATCTGTTCCGGCTAATCTCTGAAATGGCTGGACCGATTTTGACGGGACTTTTTTTAGCAGGTAGCTGATGTAATAAGGAGTAACTTAGGCTACTTTTATTTTAGAAAAGTAAAGTAAAATTCCACGCGGACGATGTCGCGGGAACAGCTAGTTAAAAATATAAATAAGCCAGTGTTAATATGATTCACAATAAATTTTAAGAATTGTTTTAATTGATACAACTGAATAGGTTCTCAGTTCATTATATTGGTTACTAAGGGCAGATTCAGCTTTGGCGCCAGGAGGGGGGCGCCAGGAAGGGGGCGCCAGGAGGGGGGCACATAGTCGTGGTCAAGTCAAGAACTTATAATTTAATTTTGATAACAATAGATACAATTAAAAAGTAGGTTTTTTATTAATGTTCGTAAGTACTGTACTTAAAAAACATTTATTCTTGATTGTACACTTGAAAAACTTAACACATAAAAACTTGTACATATACACGTACATATCGCCATCTTCTCTTGAAGACATCCAGAGAAGCACTATATAAATATAATTAATTAAATATTGAAGGTATGTAGTTACATAAAATCTGTATGGTGACAAAATATATAAATAAAATCATTATGTTCGATTAGTGGTCCACATAAGTTCTGGGCTCAGGGGGGGTGTCATGACCCCCACAACCCATGACCCCCATGACCCCCCCTGGATCCGACGGTGTAGGTTACTAATATGTTAATTTTTGCATTTGTTACGAAAACATCACTTCATAATAATTGTAAATAAATATTTTTTTAAATACGATATTGTAGTTTCAATTATACTGATCATTCCTGGACAATTCACACAACGCCATCTAGTATCAAGGTAAGCTCCAGATTTTGTATTATGCGTACTACACGACTGATAGACTTACTTGGATACATTTTTTTTGTAAATACATATATAATGTGTACATAGAGGAACTCAGATCGATACAATCAATAATAGTCATAAGGGGCCGGCCAACTATTACGTAAGCTGTATGGGGAGGGGGGGGAGGGGGTGATCTTTGCTTTGCTTATATTGGATGACATGGGGGTGGGGGAATCTAGGGGGGAAGCTTGGCTTACTTTTGCTGACAAGGGCGATGGAGGGGGGGGGGGGGGGGTACATAATTGTTATATATTTTTATTCTCACTTTTTGCCTTACAACCGTTTTGTACGCGTATCTTCATTATAAGTATTTACCATTTTCTATCCATTGCTTCATTTACATCACACATACAATCCACTCACTCTATCGCCCACATTCTGGTCCTACTTCGATAGAATTCCATCATTTACATCATACATTTTGATTTATCTTCGCTAAAAAACCAATACAAATCTGCTTACGTAATACTTGAACGGCCCCTAAATACAAATATTTGTACTGTGCGACGATCGAATCCGCGACCATCGGAACTAAAGTGGTTTTCTAAACCACTACACTACCGAGGCTGTCTCAATTTCACTGCCCAAATTCAACTCGACATCGAAACAGCTTACAAAGCTAAGTGCTTGGCTAAAATAGTCGCGACTAATGTACTCATATACATAACTTTTTGCAATATCTACCTCGGTAGATTAGTTGCTAAATAAATAGCCAGTTTCTGGAAAGCGACTACAGTTATGAATACGACTGTGGCATATGCCTGAAGAAAATATACCCGACAGCCGAGCGGACACGTGAGTAAATAGAAATAGAAATAATCTTTATTCAAATAAACTCATTACAAGCACTTTTGAATAGTCATATTTTGATTCTACCACTCATTCGGAATGCAGATTCATCACAAGAAGAATGAGCACGAAACTTGTGTGTTGCTCTTATGAATATATGTTTTTTTATATATATAAATAGAGGATTATATACAACAACAAAAACTGTCTCCACATCATTCATTCAAATTCAATATCATTATTCATGTAGGTCTATTAGAGACTTATGATATGTCAAATCTACCGTCAGTTCGGAATGATTTCGAGATGAGAACTGACAAGAAACTCAGCTCGTATTGTTTTCAAATATATGTTGTACAGTTTACACGTTTTGTTTGTACATGTCTGTCTGTATTATACAGATTCATTATTAAATTAATATTTGGGGTGAACAGCGTACACCACACCCTTCGGCCAGTAGTCTTCTTTCATAAAGGTCGGTAGCCGGTGTTGGTGGGCCACGAACGTGTTGAAACTCGCGTTGTGGCTCGACTCCAGCTGCGTCACCCTCAATGTCAGGGTGTACGTTGTCGACAATGTTCTGCCCCACATTGTTAGTACCTAGTTGCTATGTGTTTTATTTTGTAGTTGCATGTTGTATAACAGTGTCGCCGCGCAGGCGTACTGGCGACTGGCCTTGACTTCATTCAAGGTCAGTCAATAGCTAATAATGTAAGGCATACACACAGATTATGTTATAATTTAGGATTATACCGTAATGAGCGATATACATCACAAATTATATAAAATCTCACGTAAACAATTCAGATTTAAAATATCATGACACATTGACGGCCTTGGTGGTTTAGTACACCGCTCTACTTCCGATGGTCGTGGGTTTGAATTCTCGAACGTTGTATATATTTGTATTAGTGACTATGATTGTTTGTATCTGTCTGGGTGTGTGTGTATTTATTTACAAAAATAATGTATTTAGGTATTTCTATTACTTCTATAGTATCCACAATAAAAATTGAAGAATTCGTTAACGACAATAATGTTTTTATAGAAAAACTGAAAATCCATAGCACTGAGAATATTATCTGATTACACTAATAATTAGTGCATAGCGATTTCTATGTTGATTATAGCATGCCTCTAACTTGTTATACTGTAATTATATATATAAAAAAAACATCTATTCAAAAGAGCAACACACAAGTTTCTTGCTCATACTTCTTGTGATGAATCTGCATTCCGAATGAGTGGTAGAATAAAAATATTGACTATACAAAAGTGCTTGTAATGAGTTTATTTGAATAAAGATTATTTCTATTTCTATTTCTATTTCTAATACAAGTTCTACTTAGCTTGGGACTAGATGGCAAAGTGTGAATAGTCTAAAATTAAATTTATTACTTAGATTTTTTTATTTATTTATTCATAATTGCACATGCATATAAAATAATTTTACATATAAATTACAAATAATAATAATA